CTGGTTTTCTTTAAGGTCTTTGGTCGCATTTTCTAAGTTGGTTTGCTGAAAAAAAAAGAATTGAAAGGGATGAAAGAGATTAGTTAAAGTGTTTTTTTCTAGGGAAGTGTTAGCCATCTCCAAGCGCAGTAAAAGTTCCCGCAAAACATCAAAACTCACCAATCAGCGGCACTGTATTTGTAATTAGGATCATATGTACTGTGAAAAGCGCACATTTCGTAACATGCCGCGCCTGAATCGCAACATGCCGTTATTATTTTCCGAAGGTGTTGGAACCGAACTTCGTCAATCTCTTTGATGCGCGAGAGCTGGAACTAGTCATCTCAGGCACGGCTGATATCGACATTGAAGACTGGAGAAAGAACACAGAGTATCGCTCAGGTAAATAAAGGAGTCAAATAACTTTTTTAAGGATAATAACAGATCAGAGACGAGGTACTGAATTGTGCACTAGGTGAGGAAAAATGTCAATTCCTCATCAATGTCAATTACTTGTAAAAATTATCACTCTGATTTTAGGTTTTGATGAAAACCTTACATCTTCGAATCTTTCAAAATTAGATTAACACGAAGGGCACTTATTTGAGGGGAGGTGCTCAGTCAATGATTAAAGATGATGGCAGTATACTGGCAGAGGTTAAAATAAAAAAAAAAACTTTTTCCATAAGCGGAAACTATTGTTGCAATTTGCGGCTGTGTGCGGAAAAGAAGCCGTAAGGCAAACCCAAACACGGGAGTCTGTTCGCAGTTTAAACAGATAAACAGCACAGTTAAGCAACACGGCGGTAAGAGGTCCGATAGATGGCGGTGTGGTAACCAGCTGTTATTGAAACCTCTGATAATGGCAGTTCTGAAGTGATCATGGGGGTTTCGGTAATTCTGCTGGCAGTCAAAATTTCACCTCGAGCATGAGACCTTCAAGAAGATTAGTAAAAAAATAGTGTTGTTAACGCCACATACTTAATACAGATACTTCAGTTCATTTCGACGGAAACGTTTTTCCTTTTCTCTTTTTCCGGATCTCTTGAATGGTTCCTAATTATTTGCATATTTATTTAGTTTTACTCATATGTTTCAGGTTACCATGGTAATCACAAGGTGGTAAAATGGTTCTGGAAGGTGGTTCGGTCTTTTGATAACGAACAAAGGTTAAGGCTCTTACAGGTTGGTACAACAATTTTTGTAGAGCTATATGGTTTTGGACTCTTTTTTTACGCGTCATTCAATTATTTACTTCATTTGAAGTTCGTCATTGCTTTATTGCTCCAGCATAAATTTGATAGGGTTTGGTTTCATGTCTGGAAAGAAAACGCTAGACTATCTGAGGTCAGTTACCGACGATTCTAGATTTTTCTAATTACTTGAATCTCAACATCGTTATAATGGCCAATCGTCTCTGATGATCGGAAAACATCGGAAAGATTGGAAGCTTTTCTGTTTCCTCGACATGTTGCTCATTTCAACGAGGGTAGGCAAATACTTCCAGCTGTTTTATGTCGTGACTGTCTAGAAGATGTAAATTCCATATTATGTGGGAGATTTTTTCCATGTACATTGTAGAAACCAGACTTAACAGTCAGTAATCCGTGCTAAAACTACAAGCACTGCCGTCAAATCCATGAATCCATTTCCTGAAGGACTTTTGTTATCTGGAATTTCCGTCGCTTTGGCTTTTTTGGTACAGTGATGTATATTTCTACATGGCAAGATTTGTTCCTCAGGGATGAGCTAGCCAATAGACTAACCTTGAGCCCGTGATCCGTCTTAACTAAGCTCTTAGTTTTATCTTTCCTAAACTGTTATATACGCTTTCTCGGGTCATAGTGATAATTAAACTCAGACATCTGAATGATCCTTCGCTAAAATGTTATGGGTTGTTGCAGGTGTTACATATTTGATGATCATACGCTAATAGTTATACACTTGAAGCTTACCAGACTGTAAGGCGCTATAGTTAAGCTTGTGTCGGCATCTCTCACAAGTGAGACAAAAATAAAAATTTGAGAAGAATTCTTGAAGTAGCTTGTATGACTGTGGGCAGCTCTCGTCAAAAGGCCTTCATATCGTATTCTGTTCTTAACGAGGTCGGGAATTTGCCGACTTTTTTTTTTTAACAGTTAAACGTAGTTGATGAGCTTGTTTCTCTCTTTCTTTGTTTTTTGTATTATTCAATACAAAAAAATGCAAAACAAATAAGAAAGAAAGGTTAAAGGGAAAAAAATTGCATAGCTACTACTTACATGGAATTTACACCAGACTCTTTTTTTTCTGTCTTTCTCTTTTTCCGTTTTCTTTCCTTTTATCTCTTTATTTTTCTTTCATTCATTTTTCTTTTCCTTTTTTCTTTCTTTCTTTGTTATTCTTACTAAGAGGTGTGTTATTACTGTACTTCAGTTTGTAACAGGTACCTCCAGTATCCCTTACGAGGGTTTTGCTGCTCTGAGAGGCAGCACAGGACCAAGAAAGTTTTGCATTGAGAGATGGGGAGATTACACAAAGTTACCAAGGTATGTTCAAACTCAGCCTTCATTGAATGAATGAATCTTGAAAAATTAAAGTAAAGTTTTTGCAGTTACTTATTTGAATTGTTTGGAATCTTTACCATCCTTACCCATTCTTGTTGCATTTGAGTTTAATCTTCCTATTTTAGTATATTTTTTGTCTTACCACACTCCTAAGGTTTTTTTCTTTCGCACCTCGCGCTCGCTTCGTGCCTTGGCTGTTCGACTGCAAAACGCAAAAAAAAGAATAATGCCAGTTCTGTAATAATAATAACAATAACCCCTTTATTTAGACACGATAATGTTTAAAGCTGATCAGCTTGTGGGGTCGTGTGTAAATCTAAATAAACTCTAAATTAAATAAATTCAAATGATGATGGTTTTTGAGGAGAGGGGAAAACCGGGATACCCGGAGAAAAACCTCCCGGAGCAGAGTAGAGAACCAACCT